GGCAACCTGTCCTTCTGGCTCTTGGGTGTGTTTAGGTGGAGGGTGGTGGTTTGGATTACTGTTTATCTATATTCGTCTCCTCACAGGAGAATTAAGACTTGCTTTGGCTAATGAAATGTGAGCAGAATTGGAGCAGAAGCTAGAAGACTCAGCATGTCATTCACTAGGTCCCTTTTCCCTCTGCCATAAAATCTGGAAATGCTCCAGACAGAGAAAGAGAGAGAGAGAGAGAGAGATCTATAAACATATGCCCTGGAGTGAAGGTGACATGGAACAGAAAAGCAGTTGACTCTGGGACCAGCAGATGGCGTAATGGCTATGTCACTGGACTCCCATGTAGTTGACTGTGGTTGGAGTCCTGTCATGCTGAGCACATGTGCACACCTGTCCAAGACCCTGAGAGGAGAATGGAGGAGAAGGGATTGTGGAGTGGCCATCACCTATGGGGTGTGATTTCTTTCCTTCTGTCTCTCTGGCAAGGGCACACACCCTATACCAAAAATCTCTCTTAAAAAAAGAAACAAAAAAAGAAAAGCAGTTGACTCATTATGGACATAGAGGTAAGCAAGCGAGTGGTTGTAAGCCAGTGAGATTTGAGGTCATTTAATACACAGTGAAACCTAACCTCTTCTACAGGCAATAACCTTTCGTGAGAACAGGGTGTTGAGATGTCAGACTCCAGATAAATCTTGACTGGTCTTTGATTGTGTGGGGTGGGGGGTGGGGGATGGGGAATAGCAGCAGGAGATATGGGAAAGGGAATTCCAGCCCACATTGCCCTGAATCCTATGCCAGCCAACTTTGCAAACCAGGCCTACAGAGGCCTGTTTCCCTTTCTTTTCAGTCTTTTCCTTTTTACAGAGATTTTGGGGTGCGTGTGCTTGCCAGAGAAACAGAGAGAAAGTGGGAAGTCACTCCCTAGGGGAGGAAGGTGATGCCTCAATCCCTTCTCCTCCATTCTCCTCTAGGGATTTTGGGCACACGCACACACACACACAGACACAGAATCTTAAACTGCTGGGTCCAGGACTCGAACAGTAGTTGGCCATGTGCTAGTCCAACGCCTTAACCACTATACCACCTGCTCCGTTTCCCATTCTTCCCTCTCTTCTTCTCTCTCCAGTTATTCGTATTACTCCCTGGAAACCTCTGATCTCTGCTGAATTCCATGAAAGCAGATAAAAGTTTCCTTCTCTTCCCATTTATTTTTTTATTTAAAAGAATAATTTATTTATTATCATTATTTTTTCATTTTTGACCAGAGAGAGAAACAGAGAGAGAGAGAGAATGAGAGAGAGACAGCAAGCTACCAGGTCCGAGACTCAAACCGCAGTCAGCCTTGTGGTAGTCCAGTGCCTTCAACCACCACACTACCTGCCAGTCACATTCTTCCCCAATTTATACGGAAACAACTGTTCCAGGAGCCATTGATTGGCTCTCAGAAATAATCATAGCAACTTCTCTTTCCTGAGTGTTTATTGCCTCGCAGGCACTATCCTAAGAGATTTCCATGTTTTGCTTCATTTTATCATAATAGCCACTGCAGGAATTAGATACTGCTATTTCCTCATTTTAGAGACAAGGAAATGAAGAATTAGGGACCTCACGGAACCTATTTAAAACCACCAGCTACTAAGAGGATGCGAATCCAATTACAGAGTTGGATAATTTCTGGTTTGTCAATTTGGGTTCATTTTGTACCGTAGACTCAATTTTCTTTCTTTCTTTCCTTCTCTCCCTTCCTCTCTTTTCCCCTTCCTTCTTATTATTCTTTCTTTTTAAATATTGCCAGAGGGCACATGTGCTCGCCAGGGAGATAGGGAGAGAGAGAAATCATCCCCCGTAGAGGCACAGTCGGGCCACCTTGCCCTCTCCCTCACCTCTCTGTCCTGGCAGGGTTTGAGGCATGCACACACACATGCCTGCATGTTTTTCAAGCTGCTGGGTCATAATTCAAACCACACGTTGCCCATGTGGCATCTAGCTCCCCCAACCACCAGGCCACGGGTGGCTCTTCCTTTGCTATTTTTAAGCCTTACTCTATGTTCACCATGAATGGTGGAAGTGAACACCTTCTCCTCGGTCCGGGTTTTAATGAGGAAGGATTTTTTTTTTTTTTTTTTTTTTCTGAGCACATCTTGTTTCTCTTCTTGCTTTGAAACTATTCCTGGAAAGATGAAGGACAGATCTGTTTGGCAGATTTGAGACTATCTGGTGATGCTCAAGTCAGCACTGTCCTTCCTGGGGGAGAATCTGCTCCTGGCCTCCACCCCCTTTGAGCAGGAGGTCTGGTCTCTTCCTTGCAGCCCAGTGCTGGGTTCACTGTTAGCAGTGCTGTGAGGTTACCAGTTCTAAAAGCCCCTTCTTCCTCTTGCTATCACTAGTAAGGTGGAGGTGGATATTCTGGCCTCTCTCTGCTTCTTTTTATTCCTCAACTTGTTCGATTGAGGCAAAGAAATGCTATTTATTCAGAGACCTGGAGAGAGTCTTAAATGGGCATCTTGAGAAAATTACAGGAAGGGAAGGTTTCATGGTCTACTTCAGGTCCTGATCTTGAGGGTTTAACTTCAGCTTTCCCAGGCCTTCGAGCTACTCTGACACCTGCCCTCTTTTTTTTTTTTTTTTTTTTTTGAGAGAGGTTTTTTCTATAGGGCACGTGTACTTGCCAGAGAGATGGAGAGAGAGGCAGAGAGACAGAAAGCAAGAAATCACCCCCCAGTCACGATGGCCATGCTGCAATCCCTTCTCCTCCATTCTCCTCTTGGGATCTTGAGCACGCACCCACATGAGCCTGGCGTAAGTTTTAAGTTGCCGAGTCTGGGACTGAAACCGTGGCCAACTACATGGGAGTCCAGCGATGTAACCATCATGCCATCTGCTAGTCTCCACTTACCGTCTTTTAAGCAAAGGAGGGTGGTGTAGCAGAAATGGCTAGTTGTTTCTTAATAGCTGTTCTCCTATCTATTCTCTCTATCCTATCTATCGTTTCTTCCTCTATTAATAATCTTCCCCAGAAATAAGACTAAATTGCCTAGCATCTTTTGCAACTAGGTGTGGCCATGTGACTCATCAATGGACTGTAAACAGACATGACGTGTACAACTTCCGGGTCATAGCAATGTGAAGGCACATGCTATCCACTCTTATTCTTCCCTCTCTCGGTGGCAGCTCGAGTATTTTGAACCATGAAATGAAGCATGTTTTCTGGTGCCAGTGCAATAACCAAGGAGGAGTTTATAACTTGCCACCTTCAGGCTACCCTATCAGCCTTGGACTACCTACCCAGACTTGCATACAAGAAACGAGTATGTTTCTATTTCATAAAAGCCACTACCACGTTGGAGTTTCTTAGTTATGGCATCTGAACATGGGTCCTAACTAATACATGTAGGTACCCAAGGAGTAGCTTCCCAACTTGGAGAAGTGTGGCGCTCCAGCCCAAATGTACACCTGATTCATGTGTATGAGGGAATCAGCCAATGAAATAGAACAGAAGGATCAGGTTGAATGCTTGGAATATTCCAGGTATTGTGTCAGATACTTCTAGTTGTACTTTCTCTGTTGATCTAAGCAACAATCCTGTGGGGGTAGATCTATTATCACATTGTGTAGTTGAGCCTCAGAGAAGTTAATTTGATTTGACTAAGGCCACACAGCTAATAAAGAGCTGTGTTGGAGATGGAGCTGAGATCAGTTTGACTCTCAAAACCATACTCTTTCCTCCATAGCATACCATTCACTCATTATCTTCTCCCACTAAAAACAATGCCATCAACACAATAAAATCTCACCCCTGTTGGAAGACAACCCTCCATGGATCTCATTAGGCATTGACTGCCCTTTGCCCCAGACTATCCCTTCAAGGATGTTTGTAGAGACAACAACCTTAGAGGATAGAGAGAGTGTTTCTTTCCAAAGGAAAGGACAGAAATTCCTCCCCTTAAAAAGGACTTAATTTCCCCAAGCTCAGAGTTCCTCTCCTGTGATGCAATCCACCGTGTGTGCAGGCACCATGCATGTCACACCCTCGTAGGACCCAAGGACAAGGGGAACTCATGTGAGTGTGCTGAGCTCATTCTGCTCGCTGTGCCATGAATAATAAAGTCCTTCGTCTGATATCTTCTGGGGGGAGCCTCATATCTTCTAGGGGGAGCCATGAAAAAGCAGCAGGTTAACTTATTAGCTTGTCAGGGGTGTAAGATCTGTTCTCGACAGCATCTGCTGCATTTGTGCCATTGTGAGAGGCACCATCGGTTTCATACAGCGTGTCACAACACACATGCTTCCACTTTACATTACTTCAACCAAATGCATGAGGTCAAACAAAGCAATAAAGATATCATTTAAGCACTAAGTGCCCTCCCTATTTCTAAATAGGTGTGTGCCTTAGAGTGCACGTGGAAGAGTTGTATCGAGTTTTTCAAGAGTTCTCAGCTGCCATTCGGACCCCATAGTGCGGTCACTTTCCCACACTAAGTGTGACTTAAAAGTGTGAAGATACACATTTCTTTCATGTGATAAGTCCTTGAAGTTGATACTACCCTCTTCTGGTGGTCAAAGAAAAGGCCATCAGATCCAAAGCCAGAGGAAAAGTAAGTGACAATAAATTAGTCTCCAGTGGGGTGCTTTCCTGAGAAATGTTCAAATATGTCTTTTACCATTTATTTGTTATTTGAACTTTAGCATGTCACCCCCTCATAAGCTATGTCTCTAAAGGATTGGGGGAGGAATAAAGTACATGGGAATGTGAGGAGCACTAATTTTTTTTTAAGAATCATTTTATTTAATTGCATTCATTGCCATTATTTTATTTTATTTTTAAAAGTCGACCAGAGAGAGAAGGAAAGTGAAAAAGCAAGTTGCGCAGTCTGCGCAGCATCCCGAGCCCGCCGCCATGGCCGCCTACAAGCTGGTGCTCATCAGGCACGGCGAGAGCGCCTGGAGCCTGGAGAACCTCTTCACCGGCTGGTACGACGCCGACCTGAGCCCGGCGGGCCATGATGGAGCCCGACCACCCCTTCCACAGCAACATCAGTAAGGATCGCAGGTATGTAGATCTCACCAAAGACCAGCTGCCCTCCTGTGAGATTCTGAAGGACACGATTGCCAGAGCTCTGCCCTTCTGGAATGAGGAAGTCCTTCCCCAGATCAAGGAGGGGAAACTCGTACTGATTGCAGCCCATGGCAACAGCCTGCGGGGCATCGTCAAGCACCTGGAAGGTCTCTCTGAAGAGGCTATCATGGAGCTGAACCTGCCCACCGGTATCCCCATTGTCTATGAATTGGACAAGAACTTGAAGCCCATCAAGCCCATGCAGTTTCTGGGGGATGAAGAGACCGTGTGTAAAGCCATGGAAGCTGTGGCTGCCCAGGGCAAGGCCAAGAAGTGAAGGCGAGCAGGCAGACCACCATCCTGAGGAGCCCCCTCCCTGCCCATCCCATCCCTCTCTACCCTCCCCTGCACATGTCACACTGACCACATCTGAAGGCATCTGCAGTTGAGGCCACAGATGGGACCAATGGCTCCTATATTCATTTTGGCCATTGTGTCTCCTGCACCCGTTTGCTTCATGCAGTCTAGGAGATAGCATCTCTAGGGCACAGGTTTTCAGTCCAAGCCGAGGGAAGGTTCCTCTTACCTGAGAGTGAGAGGCGATCACTTGGGTTTTTTAGAGCTTTGTTTACTATGGACCTGCTTGAGTAGGGCTAGGGAGGAACCATGCTAAGGCAAGGCCACTGAGAAGTCAGAGGGCCTGTTCGTGTTCCCCGGGGGCCAGGCCTGTGCTTTTCTGGAGGCAGGTCCCTGACGAGCACTAGTCATTCCAGTGGAAGATGATAGAAAGTGCATGGTGATTAAAGACACAAAACACGACTTCCTCCTGACCCTCGAGTTGGCTCCAGAAGACTGGGATCAATCCTGATTTAAGATGTTGCATTTTTACAAAAAAAGAGAGAGAAATATATAGATATATATAAATAACACAAAACAAAAGCCCTTCTGGGGTTCCTAGTGGTCTCCAGAAGATAAGCCATTCCTCACACAGACTGGGATAGGTTCCTCGACTTCAAGGAGGAGTGTATCCTGCTGTGTATTTTAGACCTCTCCCCCTTGTTTTGTGGCAGCAAAATGCCTTTTGATCACATTCAAGTGTGTCTTACTGTGTCTTATTTCTGAATCATGTCCTAGTTGTGTGGTCCTGTCACATGGGCCCAGTACTCATTTTGAGCATAACTACTAACATTTTCCAGATCAGTATAATAAAGGAGTGATGTGCAATTGAAAAAAAAAAAAAAAAAGCAAGTTGCCAGGTCCAGGACTCGAACTGTGGTCAGCATGTGAGAGCCCAGCCACCCCCACCACCATGCCACCTGGCGGCTCCTAGAGCAGTAAATATTTTTTTAAGAATCATTTTATTTAACATTTATTAATTTATTTATTTTAATTTGACCAGAGAGGGACAGAGTGAGAAAGCAAGCCACCAGGTCTGGGGCTTGAACCATAGTCGGCCATGTGAGAGTCCAGTGCCCTTAACCACCACTCTATGTGCCAGTACCCCTCACCTTTTTAAAGAATTATTTTATAAGACCTCTCAAAAAAAAAAAAAAGAATTATTATTTTATTTAACATTTATTTATTTATTTTGGAGAGCACTATTTTAATGGACACAAAATTTCTTTTTCAACTGACGATAGTACACATTTCTTCTCACATTTATTCATCACCTTCTTCTTCAGTATAATTTTTTAAAAGAATTATTTTATTTAACTTTATTTACTTATTTATTTTATTTTGAAAAGAGAGGGACAGAGTGACAGAGTGTTAGAGAGAGAGAGAAAATGAGAAATCAAGTCACCAGGTCCAGGACTCGAACCACAGTTGGTCATATGGGAGTCCAGTGCCCTCCACTACCATGCCACCTGCCGGCCCCTTCTTCAGTGTAATTTGAATCCAATCCTTTTTCGTATCCAGAGTCTAAAGAGTTTCATGCACTTCGTCAATCTGCTGAATTCTGAAGTATATCAATTGTCATTTCTTGTTTAAACTAATATTTTTCAGCTGTTTGAAATTATGTGAAGATGGGACCAGCAGTTGGCATAATGGCTATGTCGCTAGACTCCCATGTAGTTGACCGCGGTTCAAGTCCCAGACCCAGTGGCTTAGACTCATGCCGAGCGTGTGTGCGTGTGTGCCCAAGATTCTGAGAAGAGAATGGAGGAGAAGGGATTGTGACTATCCCCCAAGGGGGGTGATTTCTTGCTTCCTGTCTCTCTGTCTCTCTCTGTCTTTCTGGTGAGTGCATGCGCCCTATAGCAAAAACTGCTCCAAAAAAAGAAAAAAAGAAAAAGAAAAGAAAAGAAAAAAGAAAAGAAAGAAATTATGTGAAATTAATATACTGCCTTTTTTTTTAAAGACATATTTTTGCTATAGGGTGCATGTGCTTGCCTGAGAGACAAAGAGAGAGCTATGGAGGGAATGGCCATGCTGCAATCCCTTCTCCATTCTCCTCTTGAGATTTTGTGCATGCATGCACATGCACCCAGCATGAGTTTTAGGTTTCTGGGTCCTGGATTGAACTGCGGTCGACTATCTGGGAGTCCAGCAATGTAACCATTATGCCATCTGCTGATCCCAACTTAATCTACTGCTTTTAAAAAATTTGCTAGAGGGTGTGTATCCTTGCTGGAGAGAGACAGAGAAAGAGAGGGAAAGTGAGAAAGCACTTCCCATGGGGGATGGTCATACTGCAATCTCCTCTCCATTCCCTTTAGGATTTTGGGCATGCAAACACTTGACATATTTGCAAGTCACTGGGTCCAGGACTGGAACTGTGCAACTGGCCATGTGCGACCAGCTGCCTTAACCATCACATCACCAGCTGGCCCTCAATTGCTTTTAAAAATATATTCGTTTTTTAATTAAATAGCACATGCATACGGTAATAAAATTCAGAATATAAAACTGTGTTAGCTCTGCTGTTTCTTCAATATCGTCTTAGGAATTGCCACCAATACTTTAATACCTGGTTCTGGATTTGTGGCAATTCCAAAATCACTAGATGGAAGGGGGTGTGAACATAGAAAGAAAAACAGAAAAACAAATCTGCAATCCAAGATAAGCATATGAACAAACACGGAAAGTGTAAGAGAAAAATTAACTCATAAAATTAAATCAATAAAACTAATAATAAAGAGGTCAATTACTTTGGTTTATTTATTTTTTATTTGTTTATTTTAAGGTTTTTGCCATAGGATGTGTGCACTTGCTGGAGAGAGACAGTGAAAAGGAAATGAGAAGTTACCTTGCAGGGAGGATGGCCACACTACAATCCCTTCTCCACTCTTTTCTCAGGATTTTGGGCATGCATGCACATGTGCCTGGCATGATTTGCAAGCCACCAGGTCCAGGACTCAAACCATGGTTGACTAGGTGGGAGTCCAGGGCCTTAACCACTACACCACCTTTGGTTTAAATAAACATATTAGGGAGATCTGAATATGGCTTTGCTTAGACTCTGGAAGGAGATAAAGAAGAAAATAACATTTTTTTAAAAAAAAAAATTATAACAATGTAAACAGAAATGAAACAAGAACAGGTAGAGGGGCTGGCAGGTGGCATGATGGTTAAGGCACTGGATTCCCACATGGTCAACTGTGGTTTGAGTCCTGGACTTGGTGGCTTGCTTCTCACTTTCCCTCTCTTTGTCTGTCTCTCTCTGATCAAGCTAGAAAATAGTAATAATGATAAATAAATAAAATAAAATAAAATAAAATAAAATAAAAAAGAACAGGTAGATATGTCAAAGAATGAGTACCCGGAGGATCCTCATGTTTCCTCAGGTACCTGCTATATCCTCCAGCTAGGGGCCAGTCCTCTTGGCCCTCCCCCTAGTAAATACCTCTTAAGCAGCATCAGCCCCTCCATAGCTAGAGCTCTCCACCACACCACAGCACCCAAAACCCCCTAACGTATTGTCTCTACCTGTATTTTCTTTTGTGTAGAAGACAATGGGACCTACAGATCAGTAAGTCTGCTGCCCAAACCGATAAAGGGGTTAGGGGTGACCATTCCCTTCTTTCTGAAGGCACACCCAATTTTCACTAGTGATTCTCGTGGAGGCTCTCTCCCTTGATTCTAGAAGGGGATACAAGCCCTCATGTGAGGGAGAGATGAGGGATGAGTATCTTTCCACAACACAGCACTTTCCCGGGAAGTTAACTTCCCTCCCATCTCTCTGATCTCTGCTTCCACTGATTAGTGGTGAGGGTGTGTGTCTGTGGTTGGGAGCTGGGAATGAGGAATGGGTGGAGGAGTAGTGGATTGGAGGGAAAGGTTGGATTCTTGAACAATGGCTTTTCAAATGTTCTGCTGGTTGATAACTGGTTCTAGACAGTGGCAATACTTTTTCTTTTCAGTTTTTTGCCATAGGGCATGTATCCTTAGTAGAGAGAGACAGAGAGAGACAAAGAGAGGGAAAGTGAAAAATCATCTTGGGGGATGGCCATGCTGCAATCCCTTTGCCTCTATTCTCCTCTTGGGGTTTAGGGCATTACATATACACACCTCTAGTGTGTTTTTCAAGCTGCTGGATCTGGGACTTGAACCACAGTTGACCATGTGTGAGTCTGGCACCTAACCACTGTGCCACCTACCAGCTCCACCATTGGCAGTTTTTGTTTTTTTTTTAAGAACTATTTAATTTAATTTTATTCATTGTCACTATCATTATCTTATTTTATTTTTTTTGAAGTTGACTAGAAACAGAGAGAGAAAAGGAAAGGGAGAAAGCAAGCTGCCAGGTCCAAGACTTGAACTCTGGTCAGCCATGTGGGAGTCCAGCCACCTTAACCACCACACCACCCGCCAGCCCCAGTCATTCTTTAAATGTAGAATGTGGGCATTCCATTTTCAAGTTTGGGCCTCAGAAGCAGTTCCAGGACAATGGGAAGTCCCTCCCCTGCTTTTATTAACTTTTTTTTTTTTTTTTTTAAATTGCTGAGGAGTTAGGAAGAAACTCCTTAATGGGGTATGACTGGGCTGCAATTCCTTTTCCTCCATTTCTCTATCCCATCGGGATCTTGGGCACACACACGGGCATGTTTCTCAAGCTGCCAGGGGCTGGGACTCAAACTATCATAAGTCATGTAGGATGTGGCTCACTTAACCATGAGGCAATGGAGCCACCCAAAACCCTCTTTCATGAAGTCCAGTTACGCAGCATGTATATCTATTTCGTTCACTTTTTATAGTTTAACAAACGTTGATATATTATTTAGTTTTCTGCACCTTGCCTTTTTCACTTGAAGTACTTCTTAGAGACTGTTCTGTGTAAGGACATACACTTGAGCCGCATTCTTCTTAGTGGCTGCATGGTATTTTACAACATAAATGTGCTATAACTTACTATAACAGCTATCAAATGATACATATTCCATCTGTCTCTAGTCCTTTGCTCAGTAAGTATTCTGTGTATACATCTCTTTTCATAAAAATAGTTCTAGATACCTTTTTTTTTTTTTTTTTTTTTTTTTAGTTTTTGCTATAGGGTATGTGCACTCACCAGAGGCAGAAAGCGAGAAATCACCTCCTGAGGAAGGGATAGCCATACCACAATCCCTTCTTCTCCATTCTCCTCTCGGGATTTTGGGCATGAACA